AAAAAAAAACCGACTTATCTTGATCAAATAAAAAAAATAGAATGTTTGTTGAGAACCAAAGAAAGATTTAATAGTTTTTAGATGATTACATACCTTCTTCAGTTGTTGAGTTGGTACTACCACACCAGATTGCCTCTCTAATCCGAGGAGGAGCAAAAGCAGGCCCTTGAAGAAACGACGAGTTATGTCCAAGAGGAACACCCAAAAGAGAAGTGGATGCTACAGCGCCTCCTAAAGCACGCACAAGCTCTCCCTACACAGAAACAAAAAGAACCCATTTCACCAAAACCAATTCCAAGTCCAAAAATCCACATAAATCGAAAATTAAACACTACCGAACAAGGAAAATAGGTACCCTGAGCTTTGCGCTCTCACGAATGAGAGTGAGAGAAGCATCTATAACTCGGCTTTGACCCTTCTCTAGCAAATCACTGGGAACATTTTCAGCACTGAGTTTACGCAAGAAATGAATTCCTCTGCGCCCAATTATTGACATTGCTGAAACTACAGAAGAAGAAAAGAAAACACTTGATTTCTCTAAGTCGCAAAAACCATGTACGTATAATCGTTTAGTGGTTGAGAAATCAGAGTGGTCTCTGTACCTCGAGCGAGAATTGAAGGTGATAACATGTAGCAGAGACGGAGAGATAGAGAGGCTGAGAAGAAGTGAGTGGGTTTACTGAGAAAAACTTGAAAATGATCAAAGCAGAGAGAAAATCAACAGGAAAAGAGAAAAAGAAACGGAAACAACAACACCAGTGACTTGAGCTGCCAATTACCTGAAATACAATCAGTGGCAAAACAGTAAGAGTGTCATGTGAAGGTAGAGATAGGTTTGATATTTATAGGAAATTAATTATATCTGATATGAGAATCAAATGGGTGAGATGAAGATAAGAGAGTTCGATCCAACGGTTGAAGATGAAATCAAATTTTATCATCAAAAACGTGAAAAATATGAGAAGAGAGAAAGATAGAATGATGATTGAGATTGATCAGTGACTATGTGTACAAAAAAACAAGGTGACAAATACAAACAGTGGGAAAAAAGTAAAGAGTGTCTCGTAAAGATAGACATAGGTTTGATATTTATAGAAAATCAATGATATCTAATATGAGAATCAAAGGGGTGAGATAAAGATAAGAGAATTCGATCCAATGATTGAAGATGAGATCAAATCCTATTATATCTTATCTTGAATTATATGCAAATAAAAAACAATAATAGATGTTAAATTGCCGGCAAAAACGTGAAAAATATGAGGAGAGAGAGATAGAATGATGATTGAGATTGATGTGATGACATGCACAAAAAAACCATGGTGATTTGCCGAGTCACATGTCAATAAATCCCAAACAAACAAACAAAGCCCAAAAAAGTGGAAACTGACGTCACGCACTTCGAGGCGTATTTTTCTGACGTGTACCGAACATCCTGTTAAAATGCGCGGTACCGGTGCATCACGCACTTCAACAAAACAGCAGTGCGCCTTTTATATATTGTGGGCCAAGTTCTAACTTTGGTCCATCAGGTTCTCTGCTTCTTTAAGCCCACTACCAATGCGAAAGGGCCAGCCTACCCCTTCTATGTAGGCCAGATCAGCCCTTAAGTTCGGTTCGATTTTATTAATCCAATGATAAGAGAAATGCTAATTACCTTCCCCAATTACTTTACTGTTTCTCGTACATTATTTGTTTGTCATTTGTCAAGTGAATTCCATTCGCACATCAAACTAAAAAAATTTATCTTAGAAAGACATAAACTCTCATTTTCTGACTCCGGGCGGAATTTAGGACAAGCTTTAGGACTAGAGTTTATTTTAGGAAAAATTAGGCTGCTGAAATAATAATAGAAAAATTAGTTTGCTTCTACCAAACTCGAAGCAAAGCTCTTTCCTTTGTTATTTTTTCATTAATTTTTTAAATATCGCCAGCATTTCTTTATTTTTTGCATGTTTTTTTATAAATAATTTATTGTTATTTGAATGCTTTGTGAAAAAATAATGAAACAGTTTTTATTCAAGTTTTCATTTAGCATTCCCTTCGGCAACTGTGATGATCAATAGAGGACAACAGCCAATATATTTCGTACCATACCATACGGTCTAAACACATTCAAACTAAAAGAAAACCAAAAAAAACTCATACAAT